CTACCAGTCTACCAGGCTTAGGGTGCCCTCCGGGGCTGACCCCAGGACACTGGGCCTGGGTTTGCTGGGACGTGGCACAGTCCTTGTGAATGACATGACTTTCCTGTCCATCCCCTCCCCCAGAGAAGTTTCTTTCTCAGGACGCTGTGAATTTATGCATTGTCTGGTCTGTGTGCAGGGCACCCACCGTGTGCAGAAGAGGAAGTGACTCACATGTAGGATTTCTCAAGATCGAATGTACTCTGTCCACTGCCTCTCAGCACCTCCTCCCACTGCCCCACAGTCCCGAGTCTCATCACCAACGCCAGGGCAGGCGTTCTCAGTAGACGCTTACTGTGGGACTTCAGCCTGTCCAAAGGTCTTTGAAACCTTGCTCCTCCGAGTCCCATCTTCAGCCAGGTCTTGTCAATGACACCCTCAGTGTCACCTTGGGGGGGCTGAGGGGCTGGACATGAGCAGTTATCTCGGGTGCAGTGGCCTAAGTTCAAAGTGCAGTCTCCCATCTGAGGAAGCTGCCAGTGGCCCCACAGCTGGGGGCTGGCGTGCCCTCACTCTGCCTGCTTCCTCGTCCCTCACTGACTGGGGTTGGGGAGGCTTGGTTCCTGGAGGTCTTGGAGCCAGGATGCAGCATCCCCTCCTCTGGCTGCTTGAGGTGGCCCTCACCCCTCCCCAGGCTCCTGTGATGTCACAGCCCCGCCTCTACCCTTTGGGGGCCTCGGAGCCTGGAAGCCTGGGAGTGCTGCACCCCATCCCCCCAAGACCATTCATTCCTCACACCCCGTGACCTCCAGAGGGGAGGCCAGCCCTGTATCTCGCAACTACAAATTGAGAGACCCTAAGTAGGCACCCTGAGTCTGCTCAGACCAAAGCTGGAATTCCAAGCTGGCCTGGGTTGGACTTCCTAGACCTGAAAGTGACTAAAAGCTCTGATGTGTGCCCTGGTGCCAAGAGGAGGCTCCTACAGAGCCTGGAAGGTGAACAAGACACCACCAAGACCCAGCACCTGTGTGGAGCTGTGGGGCTTGGGGGACAGGAGGCCAGGGGGCCTGGGGGCCAGGAGGATCGGGGGTGTGGGGCTGGTGGGGGCAGGAGAGGTTGGGGGATGGGAGGGTAGGGGGCAAAGGGCTGGGGGACAGGAGGGACATGGGGGCTGAGGATACAGGGGGACCAATAAGAATGGGTGGAGAAAGGGACTAGGGGAGGATGGGAGGGGCAGGGGGGACAGGAGGGACCCTGAGGGAGTCAGGACCCAGGTGGGGCCAGGAGGGGCCTGGGGAGCCAGGACAGTTGGGGGAGTACAGGGGAAGGGAGGAAGACTGGAAAGGCTGGATGTCCAAAAGTGGCCTGGGGACCTGGGGGTGTCACAGGGCCAGTAAGAGTTGGGGAGAGAGAGGGGCTGGGGGGGGGAGAATGGGAGGGGCTGGGGGGCAGAAAGGACCCAGGGGACCAGGGAGTGCCAGGAGGGACCAAGGAGAGGCAGACGGGCCAGGAGGACCAGGTAGGGCTGAGGGCACCAGGAGGGGCTGGGTAGGACCTGGGGGAGGGATGTGGGGGGTGCAAGGTGGGGCCTGGCAGGGCCAAGGGGAGCCTGGGGGGCATAGGGGTGGTCAGGCGGTGCCAGGAAGGGGCAAAGTTGGACCCTGAGTCCCACCTCCTGGGATGCTGTGGGCATCCAGGCCGCAGGCAGCTTCAGGCAGGTCCTGTGATGGTTTTCAGTTTCATATTTTGGTGAGAAACAGCCTGTTTTGGTTCCTTCTCTGCAATGTTTACACAGAGACTCCAAGGCCCCTAGCATGGATTTGAACTTGGTCTGGCCCTGGGGTGGGGCTGGGGGCCAGAGGGTTAGAACCGAGGAATTTCAGGAGCCCAGCCCTGTCACAGCCTGGGGTGGTGGCAGTGGGCACCCCTGCTCCCCAAATCCGGTCAGAACCACAGAGGAAACCCAGGCCGAGAGGGGAGGGCCTCCCGACCCCCATGCAGAGGCCAGTGTAGGCTGCTCAGAATGATCCCGGCGGGAAACACCGGCTGTGTCCTCATGCCAGTCCCAGCCCACCTGAGGCCGTGTCCTCTGGCCTCTCACTGGCCCTCACTGCCCTGGTGCCATCCTGAGGAAGTCCTCATCCCCTGGCCTGCCAGTCTGGTGGGAGGTGCCCAGGGGCAGACCATGGGGTCCCAGAGAAAGGGGCAGGGAGTCCCTGGCTGCTTCCAGGAAGGGAGATGCCCAGAGAGCTGCCCTGGCCTGGGGTCTGTGGGAAGCCAGATCCACGGGGAGGCCCAGCTCAGGCCTTTATACACCAGGGAGCCAGTCCCTTCCCTTGCTGGGTCCCAGGGCCAGGCAGATGCATGGGGGCGTGAGATGGGAGCAGAGCTGGGTCAGGGCCTGTGGGTCCAGCTGATGGGCTAAGCCCTGGATGGTGCTAGGCACAGCCCATGCCACAGGCGAGGAGCCTCAGACTCCAGTGGGCAGAGGACCCTGCCAAGGACACACAGCGGCATGACTCCCAACCTGGTGGTCCTCCATCCAGGGAAACCAGTGCCACCACAGACCTCCAGGGTCCCTTAGGGCAGCCGTCCCAGCTAAGCAGATGCAAGGCATGGGTGACACTGAGGAGGGAGCTCCTGGAGACCCCCATCCTCTGTACCCCATCTGCACCTTCCATGAGCACAGGGTGGAATTGGCCAGGAAGAAAGGCCTGGCAACAGGAGCAGGAGTAGTGGGTGGTGTATACTGAGGCCACATTAACCAAGGCCAAGCACCCAGACCACGGGAGGTGATTGTTCTCTGGGCTGTGCTGGAGTTCAACATATCAGAAGGAACAGGGACAGACGGAGGCGGATACAGGAGCTGCATTTCAAAGGCTAAAGAAACGATAAGTCTGGCCTGGACTTGGGGCCTTGGGGTGTGTGTGGCTGGGGTCTTCCTGTGCGTGGCTTCCTGTCTGCACCTCCCTCAGTCACACTGGCCTCTGGTCTATTCTGACTCCTCCCCACCACAGGGCTTGGCACAGGCTGCCCCCCTACCTGGCATGCACTTTCCTCCTGGGTTGCTGTTCCAGCTCGCCTTTGGGGCCTCGGCTCTTGAGAGCCTTGCCTGGCCACATGCTCTGAGCTAACCTTTGCACCACTCCATTACCCTCTGTCTCAGTGCCCTGTGGCTCCCTTCCTGACACGTCCTGGTGCAGGACTCTGCGTGCGCGCAGAGCCTACCTGCCTACTTCACGCGTGTGCTGTCGGGCCACAGTCTGGGCTTTGGTTCACAGTTGCACCTCAACTCCTAGCTCAGAGCTCATGAATAATGAATACGCAAAAGCCCCAACCCTGGTCAATCAAGGATGAAAGGAATGGAGAAAAGAGGCTTTTCTTTCTTCTTCCCCAGGAGGCAGATCAAGGGCCAATGGACAGCATATTCCAAGAGTCCTATTTCAGCTGGGTGCAAAGGGCAGGTGTCCACTAAGGAGGCCTCTCTGGAGGGGTGCTGCTGCGCTATACCCAACCAGTCAGCTGTCGGGAGGCAGGTCTTGTCTGTGGTCAGTTTTCACTCATGGACCTGGTCGTTGCGTTCAAATCTGCCGCTCTCCTGCTTCCATCCATGAGAGGAAGGGTGAACGTTTGGTGGGATTCTCCATCCTTCAGGAGCTACCAGGGGCCGTCCCCTCACTCCCGCGACATTTGGTGGAGGTGCCTCTGCCCAGCTTCTGTGAGAAGGGATGCCCAGAGTCTTGAGAAAAGAAGCTCCGGGCCCAGGTGCCACCCAGCCTGGGAATTTTGTCCGAAACACAGTAATTCGTACACACTGCCCCTGAATGTCCGCCCGGCAGCACCTCCCAACTTTATTAATGGAAACCTGCTGATCCATAACCTACGTGTGGCAGACATCTGCTCGGGGGTGATGTGGTGGTAGTGTACATATCGATGATCAATCAGTGGATTTGCAAGAAAGGCATAAAGTATTTAATTATAATTGTGTTGGGCAAGTCTGCGTGGTGGCGGAGACATTTGAATAGGTCACAGCCAGCCCTCACCCTGTTATGTTGCTGGTATTAAATGCCACTCACTCTAAGGGCTGGGAACCTTTCTGAAGTTGCAGGATATCACACACTGGCAAATTGAAAATGTCCCTTTGCTTTTAAAAATATGATTGATATCCTTTGCAAAATGAATGCTACACCTCATAATACACAGATTTCTCCTGGCACTGCCCCTGCCTCTGGCGGGCGTTGAGTCCGCATTTGGCCACAAATACATTCTCAGAGACGATGAGCTATAAAGACCTCGACTTGTTCTGAGGCCCCCAAAGAGCATCCTGTTTAGGGAAAGGATTTTTCTTGTTCCAAATTAGGCTTTGCTTACCAGAACGAAGTGCAACAACTCAAAAGATAAAATGTAAATTTTATTTCCTCTGTTGGTAACAGAAAAATATATCTTCGGATACTTCTCTGCCATATACTTATGTATGGGAGCATCTGCCTCTTATGACCATCTAAATTACACCTCATAGGATTTAAATCTATGCTTTTAGCAGAACCGGCAGAGGGATAAAAATAACAGGCGTGCAGACAGACACACATCACACATCACAATAACACGCACACACATGTGTACATGCCATGCCGATAGACTGTACAAGGCAGCATGGAGGGGGTGAGGAGCCAACCCGGGGCGCATGCCTGCCATACAGGTTCCCATCCATGAATGGGCATGGATGAGAGCTGCAGCCCTCATCTCCTAGGATCCTACACCCAGTGGGTGGTGGGAGTACCAGGAATGCTGGCTGCTCTCCGAGAAGAGACCTCTGGAAACCGGAAGCTGACATTTGCAAAGGAGAGGTGTCCACATTGCAAGCCTCATTTCCACTTCCAGGAACAGGCATTTGAGGCTGGGCTCTGGCTCCTTCTCCCTGGGCAAAGGGTGCCCTGGTAGGCAGATGCTGTGGCTGTCAGGGCCCAGAGGCTGGGGAGTGGGCGCATCTCCATGGGGCCAGGTGCTCACAGCGTCCAACAGCAGTGGCCTTCTTCCTTCTTCTCAAAACAACTAACAGAATACATTGAGTCTATTTACAGGGTAGGTGAGTGGGGGAATACTGGGATTTTTCTGAATAGAGATGAAGCCAGGGCCAAGCGTCTCTTACATGTTCTGGTCTGTCTCCGCAGCCCACCTACCTTCACTGCCTTCCAGCCCCTGTTTTTAAGGGTCTGATAAAGCAAGGCTATGCAATTCCCAAATGAGACAGCCAGCCTCATTGGGTGCATTTTTTGCTGTTCACAAAATTAGCCAATCATTGTCACTGAGTGAATCAGATTAGGTGTAATCCATACTAATGTTCAAATTAAGTCACTGAAAGCAATTAACTCTGCAAAAATGGGCTGGCGAAAAATGATAAGGCTGGCCAAATAGTTTCACTGTGCATAACTGTTGTTTTTTAGAATGCCTGTCTCTACACAGTAATTACATCATTTACATTTTAAGTCAAGTGCACCCACCTTGGTTGCTTGTAATTGTGCACTGAAAGGTGTAGCAGGAATTTTATCAGCAGCCTGCTCTCTTGGGGGCCTGTATTTTGGGAAACAGTTGATGGAAGGTCCCTGAATCAGGGTTTACTCCCTGCTCAGAAGAATCAAGAAATTTGGACTTTGCTCCAGTATCATCCCAAATTTGGGCCCCTTCTTCCCACCTTTTCTTTCTCCCTTCTGGTATAAAAAGCATAATGGATTTCTTAAACTGTCACCAAAATAATCAGCTGATAAAATAAAATACATTTATCACGTCCAATCACATCATCCCTAACACGGACACCATCATAAGCCTTGGGGTGACTAACTCATGGGGTCAACTGAGGTCTATCTTCATGGTTTGTGTCTTATCACTATTATTTTAACCATGGGGACGATGTGAGCCAGCCCCCTAACCACACACTGGGCACTTGTGGCTTTTGGGCTGTGTAGAGAGCTCACCCTCAAGTGACCCAGGAATGAAATGTTACCCAACTCTGGGAACATGACCCTGTGCCTTTATTCCTCAGAGCAAGAGCAGGAAGTCAGTTTGGAGCAAATCCTTAAGTAAAACTAGAGCCCAGTTGGGCTTTCCCGGCAAGAGAACTGTTTTCTGAAAGGGTAAAGTCACAATTCCACAGTCTATACCTTTAAGGAGCTCCACCTCCGCCTGTCCCCCTAGTCCAGGACTAGTGTGGCACCTGACCTTCAGTCTGCAGGAAAAATTGCAGGATTTGCCGAACTCTGGTTTCTTGGCTTAAGGTGGGACTGGAATCATCTTTCCAGGGAGGGTCTGGTGAAGACCCCTGACTGAACCTGCAGGGGCCTCCAGAGTGACCCCACATCACATTGTCCAAAAGTGGAGGCCCACGTTCTCCAGCCGCGGGTATCTGCCCTCCTGTGCAAAACCGGGGGGCCTGAGCCCCGGAAAGGGGTCTGGGGAGGAGAGGATGTAGTCGATGCTGAACTTGAGGTCCCGGGGCTGCTCCTTCCCCGGGGTGGTGGGGCTGGCTGAGGGCTCGCGGCCCAGGGCGCCCTCACCAGCGCTGTCCGCAGCCAGGGGCCCCTGCGCGGCGGGCGGCTCGGTCGGACTCGGGGTCCCCTGGGCGGCCCCCGCGCAGGGACCCCTCATTCCTTCGCGCTTGGGGCCGCGCCGCCGCCGCCGCCGCCGGTAGTTGCCGTTCTCGAAGAGGTCCAGCAGCGACTCGCAGCCACCCGCGAACGTCCAGTAATTGCCTTTGCCCTTCTCGTGGCCCTCGGTCCGCGGCACCTGTGCGAGCGGTTGGAGGGGTTGGGAGCGGCTCCGCTGTGCTGTGCGCCAGCCCGCCCGCCGCGTCACCCCGGGGGTGCTCTTGAAGGGAGCGCGGGTGGCGCATTGCGCAGGTAGATGCGGCCCCGGGGGCTGAGGACGGACCTCCCTGCGGCCGTCGCCCCGTAGTCCCCTCCCGTCCCTGCCCCCAGAGGCCCTGGCGCAGGTGTCGCCACGCGGGAAATCCCGAGGCCCGTCGGGGCGGCGCTCACCTTGACGAAGCAGCTGTTGAGGGAAAGGTTGTGACGGATGGAGTTCTGCCAGGCGCGCTGGTTGGCGCGGTAATAGGGGAACTTGCGCATGATGAAGTCGTAGATTCCGGACAGGGTCACCCTGCCCGCGGGGCTCTGCTGAATGGCCATGGCGATCAAGGCGATGTAGCTGCGGAGCCCGGGGGTCAGGAGGGGTCTCCGCCCGACAGCCCCCTTCCTTCCCCCACCCCGGAGGGAGCCGTGGGGTGCAGAGGCGGAGGAGCCGGGCGGTGTTGGGGAAAGTGACCTGCAGCTCGCGGCCGCCACCGCCACCCAGACCCCAGAAGCTCTGCCTGGGCTGGGGAGGCCGAGAACCTTCCCTGGCTCTCCCGAAAGGAAGGACAGATGTGTCCTTTCTCTGAGTTCCGCCCGAAAGAAGGAAGCCATCTCCGCTTCCTTCTTCCCAGGCAGGTCCTGGCTACCTGGGCCCCTGCAGAGGGGGTGTCACTGTCCCCCAAACCCCGGCCTCCGCCCCGCAGTCACCTGTACGCGGGCCGCGTGAGCCGCTTGTCCTCGTCGGAGCTGCCGGCTGGGTAGTCGTCGGCGTCGTCATTGAAGCAGTTGTAGGGATACTGCGAGCTGTCAAACATCCTGGGGGCCCCAGCTGCAGCTGCCGCCTCCTCCGCGCCGCCCACCGGCTTCGCGCAGAGCCCTCTCAGCGCGGACCAGCAGCTCCTGCACTGCCTGCTGCTCTCGCCCGAGACGGAACCTGGGCTCCTGGGGTCCCCCGCCTGCCCCCACCCCCGTTCTGTCGCGTCCAATCCCGGCGCGAGGGAGGCCCCAGCACCTGTGAAGCGGCCGAGGGAAGCGGAGCCGGGCCATCTTGATGACCCTCTGACAGCCACGGGAGAAGGGAGGAGGAAGCGGCGCGCTGGGTGGTCCCACGGGTGAGGTGGTCTCCACCCCTTACCCCGCGGCCTCCCGCTCCCTTCCCTGGGCGCCTCGCTGCACTCCCTGCGCTCAGGGCAGGGCTCGCTCTGTCCCCCTTCCTGGAGGCAGCTTCAGGTGTCCTCCAGTGCTCCCTGCACTGGCAGAAGTCTCCTGGGAGCTCTCCGGTCCTGTGCGTCCTGTGCGCCTGAGACCCACGGTGCTTTCCAGGCGCCGGAATTCCCGGGTGGACACTTGGGTCTCCACGGAGCGCACAGCCAGGAGTGGGCATCGGACATCCGGACTGTCCCCGCTCTACCACCCGCACTGTCTGCCGCTCCCGCTCCCCACTCCAGAGTAGCTGGGGATTCAGGCCAAACCCGTGGGGGTCGGGGGACATCTCCCGGCCTTGGTCACGGGTCCGCTAAGCACTCTCTGCAGCCCCTTTGCCCCACCCCGCTGTCTCTCGCAGCCTGGAGCTGAGCCCCAACCAGGGCCAGGAGGGGGACTTCGCGCCCGCAGAGTCCCTGCTTCACGGGGGCCCCTCTAGGCCAAAGCTCCCATTTAGGCTCACGCGGAGGGGAGAGAAGAGAAGCCATCCAGGTTAGGAAATTCTGGAGAAAGTAGAGAGGCAGATCTTATGGGGCTTTGCTTAACAATAGACAAGCGATTGATAGCATTTTTATGCATAATCTGCAGGATTCTGACCCAGAGGCCTGAGGCCAGAAAGCCCGGGATAGATACAGTCTTCTTCCAGAAATTTCCCCTGAACCTTCAGCTCTGAAACGACCCATACGGCGGTGCGGGGCGTCCTACTTGAAACTCCAGCACTTTGGGAGCCCGATGTGGGAGGATCACTTGAAGCCAGGAGATAGAGACCAGCCTCAGCAACATAGTAAGACCCCTGGCTCTATAAAAAATAAATGAATGAACTTGTTAAAATGTGAGCTGACTTATGCCTCTGGCCCCCAGATGGCCCCAGGGGTGCCTGGAGCTGTTCTCTGCCCTTGGTAAAACGGTGTCTGCAGTCTGGCTCAGCGTCCCTGGGGGTCCCCCTTGGAGGAGAAACATGGCACATGGGGGTGGAGACACGCAACTGCCCCTTCTGGGGTGGGCACTGGGCTGGGGTGGGCACTGTGGCTGCCTGGACTTATTCGGGATCTGAGTCACACTCAGGCTTAAACACGCTCAATAATTCCATATTGTCCCCTTAATCAGATGTCAAAGCTAAAAACGGGGAAAGAGGAAAGGTAAAATGCTATATCCCCTCTCCAAGACAGTTTGAGTTTATTTAAAATCTGACCATGTAGCCACCATGACTCAGAAGTTATATTGGTGAGCATCTATTCCAAGAGCGAAACCCTGGTTATAGTCACGCCAAAACCTGTTGATTAAGGTTTTGTTGATTTATAGCAGCTTTCTGTGTGATAGCCTCAAACTGGAAGCAAGCCAGAGGTCCATCAGCAGATAAATGGTTAAATAATCCATGGTGCATCCATGCCATGGGCTACCATTTTGAAAAAAAAAAAAGGAACAAACCACAGATGTATGCCATGACCTCAGTGAACGTCCACTGTGTGAAAAGCCAGTTTCTAAAGGCTACGGACATGATTCCACTTACATAATGGTGCGGGAGGTCCAGGTCAGGTGGAATCACCAGGCCACGCAGCCACCGCTGGAAAATACAGCCAGCCACAGAGAGGCCCAGAACCAGAGAGGGAGACAGAGAACAAGAAGAACCAAGACACTTCCACTAAGTGAGCCTGTGCACCCAAATTGCAAGACACCCATGGAAATCTAATGCTGAGAAAGACAGCCACACAGGTCCACGATTGGAAAAGGAATTCCCTTCTAATGAGATAATCTTTGTGGAGCGGTTTGACCCAAACCTGATGGCTTAATATAAAGATGTAGATTCCCTGTCAGATAAAGGACGTGCAAATACTCGCTTCCATTCCATGAGTTTTCTTCATGGGCTTGATAGCGTCCTTTGCTGCATAAAAGGTCTTAATTTTAATGAAGTCCAATTCACCTATTTCTCTTTTGCTGCCTGTACTTTTGTTGTCATATATACTCATGCATTTGTTAAATCCAATGTCATGAAGATTTTCACCATTTTTTTCCTAAGAGCTAAACTATTCACCCCTAAAAAGGAAGGAAATTTTGATATGTGCTACACATATCATGTCCCCACCCCATGTGCCATTGAAAACATCATGATCAGTGAAATGAGCCTGACACAAAAAGACAAATGCTGTGTGATTCCACTAGTATGAGGTCCCTGGAGTAGTCAAATTCATAGAGACAGAAAGCCAGCTATGAGTGCTTGGAGGAGGAGCGAAGGAGGCTTAGCTCTTTAATGTGTGAAAAGCTTGTGTTGGGGATAATGAAAATGTTTGGGGCAGGCTGGTGCAGCAGCTCACGCTATAATCCCAGTACTTTGGGAGGCCAAGGTGGGTGAATCACTTGAGGTCAGGAGTTCGAGATCAGCCTGGCCAACATGGTGAAACCCTACCTCTAATAAAAATACAAAAATTAGCTGGGCATGGTGGTGTGTACAGTGATTACAGTAGCCTGTAATCCCAACTACTCAGGAGGCTGAGGCAGGAGAATCATTTAAACCTGGGAGGTGGAGGTTGCAGTGAGTCAAGATTGAGCCACTGCACTCCAGCCTGGGAGACAGATTGATACTGTCTTAAAAATAAATAAATAAATAAAAATAAAAATAACTCAGAATGGGTCATCGACCTAAATGTAAACTTAAAACTATAAAGCTTCTAGAAGAAAACACAGATGAATATCTTTAAGATCTTTGGTTAGGCAAAGATTTATTTAATATGACACCAAAAACATTATTTCAACAGGAAAAAATGGATGACTTGCAAATTAAATTATGGACTTCTATTCTTAAAAGACAGCAGAATTACAAAACAAGTTGCTAACTAGCAGAAAATATTTGCAAAGCAAAGAAACCAATTTTTAAGATGACACTTCACCAAAGAAAATATAGCACATGAAAATTTGCCCAACATTGTCATTCATCAGGGAAACGTACATTAAAACCACAACAAAACACCTCCACACAACTGTTAGTACAGCTAAGAAGAAAAAGAAAACAAAACTGTGATGGTTAATTATATGTGTCAACTTGACTGGGCCACAGTGCTCAAATATTTGGTCAAACATTATTCTGGATGTTTCTGTGATGGTGTCTTTTGGATAAGGTTGACATAGAAATCAGTGGACTTTGAATAATGCAGACAGCACTCCAGGATTGAGTGGACTCATCCAATCAGTCAAAGACCTGGATAGAACGAAGACTAAGCTCCCCAAGCCACAGGAAATCTGCAGGGGATGCCTTCAGATTCCTTATTGAGTCTTCAGTCTGTGGATCTACACCATCCGATTTTGCCAGGCCTCCACAGTCACAGGAATCAACTCCTTAAATTTTCTCTCCCCTCCTCATACCTGCTACACAGACATGCGCGCGTGCACACACACACACACACACACACACGCACACCCCCCCGCCCCTCATTGATTCTGTTTCTCTGGAGAACACTGCTGATACAACAACCAAATGAAAACCACCTCCAAATACTAAGTTCTGGAGAGAAGACACCGCAGCTGGAACTCTCACTTGTTCCTGGTGGGATTGCAAAGTGTTTTGGCCATTTGGGCATCTAGTCTGGCAGTTTCTCATGGTTATACATATATTTATCCCATGTCCAGCCATCCTAGTCCTAGGTGTTTGACAACTCAAATGCATGCTAGTGTAGAAAAAACTTTATAAATTTATGAAGCTCATAGCGGCTTTATTTTTTGTCACTAAAACCTGGAAACAAATGTTCTGGTGAGCAAACGAGCTGTGGTATCATTGTATGCTGGAATACTATGCAGCTGTGAAAAAGGAAAGCCACTGATGATTGCAAGGCTGAATCTCAATGCATTATGCGGAGTGAAAACAATGCAGTCAAAAGATTCTTACTGAATAATTCCACTTACATAAAGTTGTGCAAGACAAAACCATGGGGACTAAAAAGTATCAGCAGTTGCCAGAGGCTGGGGGTGGGAGGAGTCAGATTCTGGGCAATGGAGCTGTTTTACCTTAGCTGTGGTGTTTAGTGCATGGCTATATGCGCTTGTCAAAACTTGCCCAGCTGTACACTAAAAAGCATGGATTTTACAGTATCCAGTTTATATCTTATTTTTAAAACCACTTTGATGATCTTAGACATGAAAAATAGTCACTGCATTAAGCAAGGTAGACCAGATGCCATTGAAGATAAAATTAGGAAACTGGAATATAAAAATATAAAACTGAAGAACACAGCAGCTCCAAGACCCAGAGACACCAAAACAGCTGATGGAGCAGTTAAAAGACAAGAAGGGCAAGCGGGGAGACTGTAGAGAGGGTGTGGCAGGGAAGCACTGCATTGACTACCAGGGAGTTTTCAAAATATGAAGGAAAGCGGAGGTTCTTTGATCTGAAGGGCACTTGCGCACTGAGCAGGCCTAATAGGATCCATCCACCCACACATACATGCCTCAGAATGAAACAGAGGCAGGCCAAGTGAATCCCAAACTGGGGCTTAGCCCAAGGGGGTTCTTGGCTCCACCTTGAAAAGAATTCAAGGGCCAGCTGGTGGTAGAGGGAAGAGAACAGCTTTATCAAAGCAGGCAGTGTCACAACTCCATGACTGCTCCTGAAGAGCAGAGTGACTGGCAGGCAGAGGGCCGTGGCTCAGGGCCGTTCTGCAATTATGTTTATATCCACTTAGATTAACGGGCAGTGCATGTAGAAATTTCCAGAGAAGAGATAGTAACTCTTGGGTGGTGGAGTCATGGCCTTGGAAGGGGCAGTAACTCCCAGGTGTTGCCATGGAAATGGTAAACTGACAGGGCTCTGGTGGCT